TATTTTTTACCTGAATGGCGATATACGATATATATCTTGATATTTTTTACCTGAATGGCGATATACGATATATATCTTGATATTTTTTCCCCATAAAGTAATAATAAAAAGACAGTTCCACGTCAGAGCCAGTGTCCCTCATATCACACAGGCACTTTTATTTACAGGCAGCTGTAGATGTGCATGAAAAAAATGGCTCAAAATGTAACTATTATTATAGTAAAATTTTTATTATTAATAACACAGAGGGGCAGGATGCAGTTGTGCAAGAGACCGATAGGGAGAGGGGGCGGGGCAGGATGCAGAGACCGATAGGGAGAGGAGAAATAGGCAAATTGGCGGCTCTGTGAGTTTAATTTTAAGCAACTATATCGATACAAACAATATTGTCTCAACCTATATCTCGTATGAAAATATATCAATATATCTTAAAAATTCACCCAGCCCTAATCAGTATCTATGCCGTGAATTGGTTGATTACTGATTTGAAAAACTCACGTTAAATACTGTCCAGCATTAATCAGTTAGCTACAGTTTCCCCGACGCGGGGGCACAGCAGCCAACGTGGGGGGAGGCAGTGACAGCGGTCTGAAGGTTTTTGATGTTAATGTGCATTTGATATGATTTTCATGTGTTTACAGAAGGTGTATAGTGCTGCTAATTTAATTTGTGGTTTTCAATATAAAACTTGGTGAAATTATATCAGTTTGTGTGTCAGTACTTCTTGAACATTTTCAGCGCATTTTAACAACTTTGCAGGCAAGACTAAATTAGGTTGTGTAGCAGCAGGAAAGACCTGGACACATTTATGGTGTAGACAGGCACCCATAAAATAAAAATTGAAGAATAAATGCAATGATTTAATGCAGGAAATTGTGCTCTTTCTCAGGATGCTACGACGGCCAGGTGTACTTCCTGTGTGCAGACACTGGAGGGACCCACTGGGTGTTTAGCACAGGAGATGCAGTGAAGAGCTGCCCTGCAGTGGACATGCTCACTGGCTGGGTGGTGATCGGGTCCCACGATGGTTGTGTTTACGCCCTCGATCTGGAGGTAACCGTGGTCAGCAGGGTGGTCTTTGTGTCATTGAGCAGCTCCTTCCATTACTTATGCTGAAACCAACGCTTCATATTGCTGTTCTGTTTGTAGGCTCGGCACTGTATCTGGACGCACCCCTGTGGTGGTGGGGGGGTGTTCTCCTCCCCATGTTTTCACCCCTCCCTCCGGCAGCTCTATGTGGCAACGCTGGGTGGGCGGCTACTTTCTCTGAATGCAGTAAGGAACTGACAGTCGACAGAATCTTCACACTCACACACACCTACTGGAGTTCACACAAACCTTTGCCAGAATCACTGTGCTTTTAGAGGATTCCTGACATTATTATATCATGGTTTACAGGGTCCCTGTATGCCAGTGTTTCTCAATCTAGACCCCCAGGCAGTTCACATTTTTGCTCCCTCCCAGCACCGTGGATCAACAGCAAACAATCAAGAACAAACCAGACAGTCAAAAACACAGAATACCTGGTACAGGCGTGTTGGGAGCTCGGAGGGAGCAAAAATACGTACTATCTGGGGGTCCCCAAGGGCTGGGATGAGAAATATTGCTCTATAAAATAAAAACTTTAGGTGCAGGATTTAATATTGTTGAACTAGGACGACCTTGGAAGTGATGGCGTAGGAGAGCGTTTGAGATGGGGTGGGGAGGGGCACAAATAAAATACAACATTCTGTTTATTGGGGGGTGAATAAAGCCAAATTAAATATTGAGGGGGATACATTCCTAACCAGTTTCTATACCGCCCTGCTTAGAAGGAAAGGCAATGTTGTGTTTTGTGCAAATGCATGTAGGGTTGTGCTCCTGTTCTGGGTTATACTACAGAATCTGCATGCTTCTGACCTCTGTTGACATATCCATGTACCCATGGCTGCAGGACACCGGCGCCCCCTTGTGGATGCACAGCAGTGAAAAGCCCTTCTTCTCGTCCCCGCGATGCTGTCACAGCCATGTGTGTATTGGTTCTGTGGATGGAAACCTGTATGGCTTCAGCCACGCTGGTGAGAAGGTGAGAGAGATCATTCACGCTTACTGTGAATTCCTAAAACATTCAAACGAACTAGCAGTGTTCACGAAAACTGAACATCATGTCTAAATATAAATAGTGTCTGATTATGGACCAAGGAAACTCTCGTCACCTTATTCTGCATCGTTAACAGCGGGTGGTTTGCAGCGATTCTTTCAGCTTTATGCAATATCATCTGAACAGCTGACTGTGCAGCATCTGCTCTTCAGGCAGCATTTAGCTGAGCTTGTGTTTCAGGTGTAGTTCATCTGCGATTTTGCCACCTCGACTGTACTCCCTGATTTTGAGGTCACCTTTGGTGTGCCTAGGCTTGTCTGGTCTTCATAAATGCCAGTTTCTTAAGATCATTTCCTGGTCTTGCCCAAAGACGTTTGCAGAGTTCTTGCCATTTGAACCTGCATTTCGTAAAGTGATCATAGACATTTTTTTTTCTTTGCTTAACTGTGCATGTCGTATTATTTTCTGCTCGCTCACAATAATTATTGCTTTGGGTGTTCATATCATTAATATTTACATATATTTCCTAACTGCTCATCCTGCTCATGGTCTCAGGGGTCTGGACCCTATTCCTGGCAGCAGAGGGCACAAGACTAGGCCTGGTGTGGGCAGTGCCAGTTACCCATCTTTATTGTCGATTCACATATGATTATCTACTTGTTAAAGTACATGTATTGCTAGTGAAAATAGACAAATACACTGCCTGGCCAAAAAAAGTCACGGGTTGAATTTAAATCAGCAAGTACTTAAGAGCCAATGATTGGATCATTATTACAGCTCAGCAATGTTATGCAGCAGAACAGTCAAGTCAGCTGAGCACCTGAATCTACTGAACGGCCAGGTTATCCCATCGATGGATTTTCCTTTCCTAATGGCATGGAGATATTCCAGCACGATAATGCCAAGATTCATCTGGTTCAAATTGTCAGGATTCAAGAAGCAGGAGGAATCGTTTTCTCACATGAATTGGCCACCAGAGAGCCTTGACCTTAATCCCATTGAACGTCTTTGAGAATTATTGAAGAATACTTTACGGAGTGGTTCAACTCACCTGTCATCAGTACAAGATCTTTACTAGAAATGAATGCAAGATTCAGTGGAAATATACACTCACCTAAAGGATTATTAGGAACACCTGTTCAATTTCTCATTAATGCAATTATCTAATCAACCAGTCACATGGCAGTTGCTTCAATGCATTTAGGGGTGTGGTCCTGGTCAAGACAATCTCCTGAACTCCAAACTGAATGTCAGA